GGTGGGTTTATACGATCATTATCATTAGTTCACTATCATTAGGAAATAGCCAATAGAAACAAAGGTATGATTTCGTTGGTTAGCGACGCATAATAATCCTTTGTTTCTATCGGCTATTTCTTAATGATCTAATGATAGTGAACTAATTGCTAATCATTGTATAAACCGACTATAAATGTCATGTCTAAATTTCATCAAATGTCGATGTTTTATAGATCATTTTAAACAACGCAAGAATAAAATCTTTTTCCATCTGCATGTATGTACGTACGTACGTTGGCAAGCTAACGGCTCAACGTGCTTTGTTCAAATTTTGGATATTTATATTAGGCATATACGGAAACGTAAAATACACGGCCAGATTAAAAAAAATTTAGAGCGCCGCAACGTCATCGATGTTTGTTCAAATAACTCAAATAACTTCAAATTATTCTAAAAACTATTTTTTTGTATACAGGGTGATTCAAATTCGTGGCTCACCATTGGGATATTCGTAACGGTTAGAGATACAGTAAGTTAAACGGAGGCAAAGTTGAAAGTTGCCCCTTTTTATGAGTAAATAACGCATTTGAAATTTTCTGAAAAATCATTGAAAATAACTTTTCCCTAGTTTTAAAAGGGCGTAAATGCACGGCTCCCTAGCATCTTTTATGGCCACTTTTTTTTTGGAGAATCTGAATCTGTTATCAGAATTTCCATTACAGGCTACTCGCTAAATGTATAAATTACAAGCTGCATATTTCTTATGGCCGCCATATTTGGATTTTAACGGAATTTTTTATCGATCGCCATTTTGTTATTTAAAAAATAAAAAATAATTGCAAATACTAATGTTTTAGAGAGCTGAAAAATAGTGTAGATTATTTTTTCAACAGTCCTTGAAATACGATTTTTCGGGGCACCAAATCAAAAATTGGAACTAAGAAAATTCGATTTATCTGTTATGCGCGATAATGTGTTCTTTTGTTACACATGGCATTGTCTCCGTTGTTTAACCCCACGTATGCTTTTAGAGTTATGAAGGAAACCGTGGTTTACTTAAGAGTTGTTTATGTGAAAGGAATATTATATTTTGCAATAAATACTTTTAAAGCAAAAAGGATGATGTCAGTTGTGAATAATTAGAGCTTTAAATTGTGTTCCTTTTGCTTATTGTTTTATAATCTGTTTGGTGAATGCTTTACTTCAGAGAACAGCACCTGACAAAGTTTTGGAAAGCACTTTTTTATCGTGGTTTTAAAGTTTGGCACTTGGTAGGGTTTGGAAGCGAGTTTAATATTTCTACCCTAATTAAATGCGAGAAAGTGAATGCCAGATTTATAATATAGCCCCCAGACAGAGAGTTGTCTATAAACAACGAGCGGGGGCGGCCATTTTTCACCCCGATAAATTAGAGTGTAACACCTACGCACGTAAAAACAAATCGATAATCAGACAAACTTAATGAGGTGTGTAATTGATTAGCTGATGTGTGCTAATCCATTATGCATTTCTACAGTGCATTTAAATACAAAGCAAACAGCGTCTACGTAAATATAATTAATAAAACAACCTTGACATAGTGGATCGTGTATGGTCCACAGGTCCACCAGTGTTGCTAAGATTATGCCGTCGACGCCGTCGCTATCAAGTTACTTAGTCTCCAAACGCCCACGGGATGGATTGAGATTTTGGGGTGAGATAACTAATAAAGCCCACCTCTGCAGACAACGCAGACTGTGCATTACAAGTATTATGAAATGGTATACCTACTCAGGGGTATCCCACGCGCAACAAGGCAGTCGGCGTTTTTATTTAAAAAATCTAACGTTAGATTTTAAACATATTTTACGAAAATTACACAAGTAAGACCGAGATGGAAATTTATAGATCGTTGATGTTTTACTTTTGTCAAATTTCGTTGTTCTCAATGTAAGACCGCCCGATATTTAAATTGAGAAAGGAAGATTTAAATAAGAACAGGTAAGAAACTCCATGTTCCTGGATACCTTGTACGATGCTCTGTTATCGATAATTGTTCGCTTCTTCCGACATTTAACCGTACCTTAACCCACTCTTATTTCAGTTTCGTACATCATTAAACATTCCATGTAGATTGTATGGTATTGCTTTCAACCCTGTTACCCTCTATTTCACTATCCTCTACATATGAAGGTGGAAACCACCTGTGCAGAGGACTTGAAAACCTCCCATCTATCCATTTTGATTATTCACCCTTCTGTATCCAAACCCGGAAACACTCGCCATCTGCATTCCTGGGAAAGCCCCCATTGCCCGCACTTTGCACGTCTAGAGAGACCAAAGTGAAAAATAAACTAATATACTGCTGTGTAAACAATGTCAGTTGGGACGTAGTAGTTGAGACATTTGGAATGAATTGAGATGTCCAATTCGTTTTAATTTTCTTAAAAAAATTTTTTTTGTAATTAATGTCGCGGATCTACGTTTTAACACAACATAATTTTGCGAATCGAGCGTGTAGTCAAAGTCGTATTTGTTTATTTTCTTTATAAATCATAAAGTACTTGTTTAATTAATTTACGAATAAGCACAAAGTTGGTTTTTTTTTGTATTTGAATTTGTCTCCCAGTGTAATTTTTCCTTCTGGAATTGTTTTTAATTGCGTAATTCTTTTTGAAATGTTATAGCTATTGAAAATTATTTATTTAGGTCAAATGCAAAACGTGAAATTACGTGTTAAAATGTAGAGCACATCTGGTTATTTGCAATAAGAAATTTTTATCGACCGAATTTTAATTAACTCACTTGTTCTTATCGCTGTTAGAACAGATGCAAGTGTCTCACGATGTGCGCGTTGTTTTTTTTTGGCGTTTTGGCCAATAGGCAGATCTCATACTTTTTGTTTTACTTATAATTCGGAAGACTTAATTACTCATTAACACGTGGCACAAATAAAAAAGTGAAAGAAATTAATTGATGGGCAAATTCATTTCGTAATTTGAAAGAGGCTAGAAAACGGTACCTCGCACCTGGGCTAGTGTTCTGACGTCAGCTGCCTTCTAAACTCAGGCAAGTTCTCGTTTTTTATGTTTAATTTCTCTAAAAATGCATCAATGTTGATACAAATTTTATGAGACGTTCTTTAAGTAAATACGTATCGATTCTGAGGAAATGGTTTTTGGTAAGTTCCCCTGCGCAGCTGAGGAGCTTTTTGATCATTTGATAGCCAATATAGCAGGGCCTCTTTCAGAGATCTATGGAGTTCTGCCATTCTGAAAGGTCTATTGTACTCTTCAAGATTATCACGGTGGAATATTTTTTCTTCTTGTTTCCGGTCTTTTCTGTAAACCGCAAATTTTTCTGTGTAGCTTGCATCATTAGATACGTTTTCGTTGTAGTTGGCCGTAAGTTCTGCAATATCGTCGCTGCTAGTTACCAAAGTGTCGTTGATGTTTTACTTTTCGCAATGATCTTGCTTGAACTCTTTTTGTAAGTTGTCAATTAGAAAGAGTCAGGAAGCATTTTGAACATCTTCAGCCTTTCAGGACCGAGTTTCCTTTCTCATCATTTGTATTTGGGCAGAGAACCACTCATATTTATCATATTTAACTTTAAGTTGATAATATGCCCCGCCATGATAACCCCGGTTTCCCAGTTGCAAATATTTCTTTTACTACTTATTTTACGGAGTGAATTATATATATTATCTAATCTATGGGTTCACCGAGTCGTTTTCCAAAGGTACGTTAAGGTAATCCCCCAGAATTATGAAATACAAATGTTTACACATGGTCCAAAACATCTGGAGGTTTCACTTATATTTTAGATCTCGTTTTAGATATAATGAGAACATTGTTTAATTTTGATGTCGGTGATATTTAGTTCCCGGTTTCGGCTGACAATTAAGCTAAATGGAAAATTCCCATAATCGAATTTTTTCCATATGCCATTTTAGAACAAATAAGAAACTCAGATGTTTCTTACGTGACCTTAAGCATTCTTTTCTGGGCCATAATTTCAAACGATAATTCATCATTTTACAAAAGAATGGTTTACTACGCCTTTTTCTCTATTTTGTTCCGTTGTAAACTTTAAAGATTTTTTTTATGCTTTAGACGTACTGAGTAAACTTTCTAATCTCAAAGATTGCAACGTAATTTCCTGAATAAATATTTAAGCATAATTTTATCCCTTCAATCTCGCAAAATTCTTTTAGAACTAATAAGAAAATCATACAATTTTCATTTGACCCAATCCATTGTTTGGGTCCAACATTTAATATCATCGCAATATATCACAAATTTAGCTGATCTAATGAAAGCATATATTTATGACTGCAAAATAGCACGAAATTATATAGGTAAACGAATATGTTCAAAATTCAAACCAACGATTTTTTACAAAGATTGTATGTTTTTATAGAATGTTATATTTATTGAAACAGTGGAGTTTGTAGAATTCACTTTACTAAAATGGTCTTAACTAATATGACACAATGGTGGGTTTATACAATCATTATTATTACTTCACTCTCATTGGATCATTAAAAAATAACCAATAGAAACAATGGTGTGGTTTCGTCGGTTATAGTGACGAAAAATAAACCTTTGTTTCTATTGGCTATTTCCTAATGATCTAATGATAGTGAACTAATGATAAAACTGACATCATATGACATTAGAAATGTCGCATTTTCCAAGGACTATCATTTTACATTTATGAAATAGAATTTTACACTATATTGTGCCAATTAGATCTGAATACCTTCTGTAGCTACGCATGATATTAAAAATATTTCCTTTTAAAATTCCGATATAAAAGTACGACTTATGAAAGAAAACTCGAGTGTGACAAACACGATAGATATCAATGGTAAAATTTGACATTGTTAGGAAGCTTTTATTTCCGTACCGTAGGTCGATAGAAACAAAATGTTTTGTTTATCCCAAGCTTAGCGATACAAAATTGGAGATCCCTCTTTCGATGGAAAATAAAGCACGCGCCGTATTGTCGAAAAAAAATTCAAAGCGGATACTTACCCCTCTTGAATCTCGAAATAGTATAGCTGCATGATTTGGATCTAAAAAGGCATCGGAAGCTCGATGAGGTATAATGGTTCCCAAAGATTGCCGCCTGCGATCGGCATCCAAAGGTTTGCGGCGTAAGTGGGCCCCTGAAACGAAATTGGTCAAGTTTACATTCCACCAGTAATCATAAATTTACATTTGTATAAGATGATTGAAAAAGTGAAAAAGAATAAGGCAAACAGAAAAGACATAACATTAGTGATATTGGACGCATCTCGGTTAAAAATACACACTCCGAGAAATTTTCCAATTATTTTTGAATCCGTTCCAACTTTCGACGGGTACGTTCTCGGGAAGAAATAATAATACAGAAGCGCGCTTTTTTACGACGCCGAGTTTCACACGAACATCAAATGCACGTTTCCAACAAGCAAGATGGAAGACGTGCACAACTCTACCTTCCGGACGACGCGACGTGAACGGAATTCCTAAGTCGCCAAATTGCTCATATTTTGGCAAAGGTTGCGGGATTTGGCAACTAACGCTAATAATATGAAAAGTATGAGACGGCCCACACTGCATCATCATTGCTAAGGTGAAGGACACTTACTTATAATAAATTATTTACACTGAATAAAACCGTTCAAGTACTTTTATCCGCAGGATCTTTAACATTCCAGACTTATTTTGCCTAGCCTTTTTTTCGCATATCTAGTTCTAGCTTATGGCTGGTGTTGAAAGATATTGTTAAACCTATCTTTAGATTAGATTACCTTATTTCAAATGTCTATCTTCCTAGATTTTAAACTTCAAAATTTTATTCAAGGGACAGAAGGATTTTAATTACCTAACCTTTCTCAACGAGCTTTAAAATTAAACTCAAAAATTTTTACAAGTTCTGAAATGTTATTAAATAGGTACTTATCCCATTAAACAATCCACAAATTAACAGTAGTTTAAAAATCGTTCAAATTTACATAAGAATCAGGAAAATATGGCACATTATTTATGAGGGAATATTAAAGTACGAGGCCTTTTTGAGACCGAGTACTTGAATTTCCGAGTCCGAGCATAAAATTTCAATTTTCATATAAAATTTTTGATTAATGTCAATCTATCAATACCGAAAAAATTGCTGGTTACAGAAATTTTGAAAGTTTCATAATGGCTTGATCTACAAATTTGCGTAGATAATCCACCAAAAACGGTATAGGAGCTTGAGCGAGAAGTACACCACTTTGCCTGAAATGAATACAAACTTTTTCAAATTATTGTACATAAACGTTTTGGAACACTTTTAACATTTCGGAAGCGGATAATTATTATTAATCACTTGGGAAGGTTTGAAAATTGTGCGGAACTTCTTGTAAAACGAAATTATTCCCAAAGGAATCTAGATTTCACAGAAAATTTACATTGTTAATGTTTTCCATCGAACCCGTACAATTTTGCTAGAGGCATATTCAAATAATATGATGAGACAGCGTGTATTTTTAATGGCAAGCACGATGTCCTCATTGAGAGAAAAAATGGCGATCCTTACGGCCACCCCCGAAACTTTACTTATCGCCTCCCTTTGAATTTATATAATTTATATAAGCTTGTGTATAATCCGTCAACCCATGTTTGTAAAAATAAGAGGGGATACCTTAGTAGACATGGATCATCTCAGTCCTGCACTGCAATTGATTTTTGAAGTATATTAGTATCCATTTTGCTGTATTTGAATATTCCCATCAAAACAAAATATTTCAGAATATCTCTAAACCTCTTACTGCCTTATTTTTTATCTCTCAAATTTGTATAGTTCTTGCTGCAAAAGATCATATGTTGATCACCATAGATGATCCTGGACTCAAAAACGCCTTGTTTTTGGTTTCATTGTTTTCATCTTCAAAGTTCAATCGGATACCTTATTTCATAGAAGTCAACATGTTTCTCATCTCTGTTTATGTAGGCGTGCGCTATCTAGGGGTACAATTTTGGGAACATTTTGCAAAATCGGAAGGGAGACAGAAATACCTGAACAAAGTCGTCAATTCAATCCTCCTATGTTTAGTGGTTGCCGTAAAAAATTGAAGAGATACAAACTTTGGACATTTTGGGGAAATAGCACTCATACAAAGCATTTTGAACCTAATTTGGAAATAAACGATAAACTATATTAAGGATAAAATAAACAATAATCCCAATGAGAGCACGGCAACGACATCTACTGAAGATCAAGTTCAAAACAATCGAGCGTAGCGCAGGAATCGCTAGTACCACTGATTCAAACGTTATCAAAAGTTCAAATAACCCAAAAACTACAAAGTCCGAGAGTACAGCTACTATAACAACAAACCTCTGGAAAAGTGATGCTCCCACGCCATCTAATAAGAAACAAATTTACACCGCAACTATACTCCACACAACAACACCCAACTCCTAAAACGTCTAATCCCGAATCCGTAATAAAAAATAAAAACTCCAATTCAATACGCGGTTCAGAAATATCTTAATAAAATCATGGGATGATATCACACGTGAGTAGGCTGCATCCAGATACTACCGCAGAAACCCTAAAGGGCTACTTGACGGACATGCTAACCAAGGACGCTGTAACCAAACGCTCCTATTTCAAAAGGGATACTCCATCGGTTTTTCGCAAGGATCAACACCAAATAAAAGAAACATAGATACCGAAAAAGTAATCGCGATCAATGACCCGTTTCAAAGTTCTACATTTAAATGTGCAATACATTATCGTCAGCGAAATTAACATGATTGACTTCCTGCAAAGCAAATACCCACCACTGGTCTTTTGTGCGAGCAGTACCTGTACAACATAAATGTGCAGCTTATCGCACTGGACACGGGACAATTACAAACTTATGAGCTACTTCTATAGGCAACAGCAAATGAATTCCCAAACCGAACATAGGGAGTAGGGACATAGAAAAAAAATCTTCTTTTGATTGGGGTCATTATAAACCCTCGTAAGTTAACATGGGGAGCAGAGCAACGATCTGCAAAAAACGTTTTTCCCACGTTAATTGCCTATGTTCGATTTTAAAATATTCACCCGGTATATATTTGAATGTTCTGCTATTGCAATTCACAATATCAGCATTGTAAATATATACAGTGCGTTCGAGATAAGAGGTTCGCCCCCGGGTTCACATGCGAAAAATTTTTCAAATATAATTTTATGTGACATTACGATCTATCCGATCTCACTTCCGATTTAACCGGAAATCGATGCAACCTTTGTTCTTCAAATTCAATGCCTATGCTTTTAAAGATCTTTGAGATTTTCTGTTTCTGTAAAACATAAAATTTCTCGCTAGATTTAAAGGAAAAAATCAATAAGTTAGAAGATCTCAATCGACTGAGGAAAGTAATAACCAACGACCAACTCATTTAAAAATACAATTGTACATTGCTTCTAAATAAAATAAAAATCTAACTCTAAAATGTTTCGAAAATGCGTATTAAAATTTGAGAATGTTTGGGTTGAATCTTTTTGGAAGTTTGAAAACGTGCAATTATTCTGGAAATGTGTACGAAACTTTGGAAATACAGTGTATAAAGTAAACTAGGTTCGCCCCTGTAACTTTGAAAAAATTGACAACATATCGGCCCGTGTGTTGCAGTGGTGTGGAAGCTCGACTGCGGGTACTAAGGGTCCCTGGTTCGAATACGGGTTCGGGCATGGATATTCAGTTAATAAATGTATAGTGGGTTGGGTTGGTAGAGCAACCCTTGGCTGAAACCCCGCCCACTCAAAAAGAAAGACCAAAATAAATAAATATAAATAAGTTAAAAAAAGTCTCTGATGTGCCATCACTAGACAGAAGCGCATTTTAGATGTGGCAGATCAATAACTTTCAAATATGCTTGTACAAAACATTTCCAATAGACAACATTCTCTCAATCCTTTAATTTTTCAATTTGGTCTAAGCGATGCAGAAATAACACGATAGTACGAATATAATGCCGAAAATCCGAAATTTACGATATTCCGTTGTCGAGATCTCCATCGTTTTATAAAAGGCGCGCAAACAGCCAACAGTTAGTGAAACAATAAAACTCCTTTTTTAGAATCAAAAATGTGCTAAAAAGAGCCAAGTTAAATCCCCTTCGTATTACGTAGAAAAGTAGAAATGTAAATATTTTTCTGTACACTTGACTTTTGTTTTAATTTGAGAGATCCTCGTATAGTTATTTTCCTCACACTCTCACGTAACGGTTGACAACCACATAATAAATATTCAGATTACGGGCATTAACATGATTATCGCAGAATCAGCCATAAACGATGTACCCACTACCGCTAAATCGTAGTTGTTAAATCCGTGCCCCCATTTTAGGTTTTCCGACGGTTGAATTACATTTTCTCTTTGGAAATTTATACAACGTTAACAAGAACGTAACTGCCACTGGGTAAACCAATACTGTTTGCAAGATACATTTTTCGATTATCTGTTTGTATTTAACCCACAATTTGAGATGCGTAAATTTAGTGCTTGAAAGTAATAAACCCCTCCAGAAAAAATGAAAATGTAACATACCTTATAATGTAACCACGAATCTCGATTTCAAAACAGCATGACGCATAAAATATTTATAGTGGAAAGTTTTTCAAGAGAAATAACGGAAGAGAATGTAGATCGACCATTCTATGAAAAACTTCATGGGGATGGGAAGAATATCAAATCTCATTTCAATACTAAGAATAAACACCGTCAGTATCATGATGGCTTAATTGTAAATTGACTGTACTTTTCTCGATTTAATTGAAACTTTTGACATCAAACGGGACTGCAAAGTGCTCTACATCAAATGCGAAAATGTAGTCAAGATTATTTACAGTAGGTCTTTACATCTTCCATTAAATTTATTCGACAGATTAGTACAACCTCAAGTACAAATAACGCCATGGAATTTACCCGGTCATATCGTATTTTTTATTCAGAGCATTTTAGTCTCGATTTTAGTAGACAATACGTACCTATTTTGGGCCGTACCGGGTGGATCAAACTCGTGGTTTACCAGTGGGATGGATCTCCCGTCTCCGTAAAGTTGAGGAGAGGGTAAATGGCATCAAAGTTGCCCCTTTTTGTGACTATAAAAGCGCAATTGAAATTTTTGAAAAATAACTGAG